TGTTTCCCCAGGCAGTGCATGGCGTTGCGGGCTCAGCTCCACAGCAAGGCAAAGTCTCCGCTGTCTCGGCCGAACCCACCCTCCAACGAGCCACTGAGGAAGATGGCCAAGTCTTGTCCAGTCGGCTGCTTCGCGATCCTCTTGTGGATGGTCTCCTTGAGGGCGCTGGCAGTGATGATACTTACCGTTGCATCCGGGCAAGTCAGGAGGCAGAAGGCATGGGTGACCACCGCGATGTCGCAGAGGTCTCCCATGCGGGGGACGCTGGCGCCTCCCTGCCGGTAGGGGATGTGCAGGACCTTGTTGCTGGCCCTTAGCGGCAGGTGCAGCCACTTCTTGAGCAGCCGCCGGATCTCGGGGTCCGCCTTCTTGAGGGGGTCTTGGGGACCACCGAGCCTCTCAGAATGAACGCGACACAGGGGATGAGGAAGGTGTTCACCGCGTCTGTCTTCTGCCAGGGGGCCAGCAGGGACAAGTCCAGCTTGTGGGCATCCTGCACGATCCTGTTGATGGTCTCCTCCAGCATCTGCTTGGCCCGGTGGCCGGTGGGCGTCCCCAGGTGGCAGTAGGCCTTGCCGTCACACAGGTACCTCATCGCCTGGCCCTGGATCATGAGGGTGGAGTCCAGGACACGGCTATTCTGCCTGCTGTTGATGTGCAGGGAGGCACACTTGGCGACGTTGAAGCGCAGGCCCATCCACCTGGCCACCTTGGACGTCATGTCCAGCATCTGCTGCAGCTGGGTGGCATCAGGGGTGAGGAGGACGAGGTCGTCGGCATGGGTCAGGATGCCCAACTTCTAGCTGTACAGGTCGAGCCCACCGGGGCCGCCCGCCATGACTCAAAGGAGCGGTTCCATGGCCAGGTTGAAGATGAAGGGGCTGAGGGGGCAGCCCTGCCTTACCCCCGACCAGTTGGGGATCTCCGTGGTCTCTCCATCGGTGGCGCGGATGGTCATGGTGCAACCGTGGTAGAGCTCTCACACCAGGTTGATGGCGCCGTCTGGTAAGCCCAGCTTGCGGAGGGTGCTGAAGATGTGGCGGTGGGGTACGGAGCTGAAGGTGTTGGAGATGTCCAGCCATGCCACCGCGCACTGCTTCCTTGTCCTCTGGCGTTGTCCAGGGCCACCTGGAGGGTGAAGTTGTGTTTGTAGCAGCCCTCCATCAACATGAAGCCCTTCTGGCTGCAGCTGACGGCCCCACCGGTCACCGCCCAGTCGGTGATGCGGGCCACCAGGCAGCTGGCGAACAGCTTGGCCACCGTGGAGCACAGGGTGATAGGTCTCCAGTTGTCCAAGTCGGTCGGGTCTCTTCTTGTGGATGAGGACCGTCATGGCCCTCTTCCAGGCGGCGGGCATGCACCGGAACTCTTGCACCTGTTGAAGAGAACAGAAAGAACAAGGCAGCCCGGGTCACGTTTTTTGAAGAGACCGTACCTGATACCGTCCCTGCTGGGGGCGGTGTCCGTGGTCCTCTTCAGGCAGGCTGCCACTTCCTGCGGCATGAAGGCCTCCTCAAACCCCTCTGCCAGGGGGACGGGGGTCAGCGCTTCGATGGTCGCAGGGCATGGGGTGGCAGCTTCTGCCGGGGGGTTGAAGACCCTGCTGAAATAATTAAGCAGAGTCTCCTGGGGGACCTGGCAGAAAGCTGAGGGTCCCTCCAGGATCTCTCTCACCGCCTTGGGATGGTTGGCCTGATACAGCTTCTGGATCTGGGAGGCTGCCGCCGGGTCGTAGCGCTGGTGCCTGGGTCACCTCTGTGGCTGCGGTCTGTGGTCTTGCCGTGTCGTCGGTCTGCTGTTGGTGTTCCTCCGGGGTTGGCCGGGCCGGGCGGCCGCCGAGAGCTCCTCTGTGAGCTGGGCCACCAAGGCCTTGAAGGCCTTGAAGGTGGTGGTCCAGGAGAGCTTCTCCAGCCAGAGGGTTTGCCATGGGGTGGGCATCCTCTGCTGTGCAGAGGTCTCCGCACCCAGGGATCCCGGCATGCTACACCTGAGCTGCAGCCACCAGGAGCTCTGATTAGACAGAGGATCGTCAAACATGACAGCCAGCAGTGACACCTTTGAATTCCTGATTCAGAAGAGTGACCACTATGATTTTTAAGCCCCTGAATTGACACAATCTGGGTCCTTCTAGACTCCATCCAACAATATGCCAGACCTAGGCAGCCACTGGCAAACACTGCAGTGGGCTCCTTTGTGATGAAACCAGTAAATGGTTGGTAACAGGTTGCTGGAAGGTGATAGATAATGGATGACTGAAAAGAATGGCTCCGAGTCAAGTCAAACCAGGTGCCACACACAGGGGAAAATTAATGCAAGAGCCCATGGGGCCTGGGCCCTTGAGGCACCAGGGGCAGCACAGCCCAGGCAGGCATCCTGGCAGCAGGCATCTGGGGCAGGCAGCATGGTGCTCCTCCCCTCAGCCAGGCCATGCAGGTGCAGGTGGTGGCAGCTTCCCAGGGCTGTCTGTTGCCAGGAGGCCCCATGGGCAGCCCCACTCCCATTCCTGCTCTCTGCCATCTGCGGACAGCCACCAGCACCAGTACCACTGAAACAGGATGGGACGGGACATTGGGGCCAGCAGAGATGTGGGCGGTTAGCCAAGGGCAGCATGGAGCCCATGCCCCTGCTCTCCCCAAGGCAGCCTCAGCCCAGGCCTGTCCCACAACGCTGGAGGACCACAGCCCTGACAATGTAACACTCGCCAGGTTGAGGGGCCGGCCTGGGTCAGGACCGGGGCCACCTTCACCACAGAGACACTTGCCCCCTGGCTCACCTTGAACATACCAAGGAGGCTGGGCGGGCTCAGCCGCAGCCCCCTGGAGGGCACAGAGACAACCTGCCCTTGCCAGGCACAGAAGTGCTCGGAGCGGGGGCTATGCCCTGCTGCCGCTTGCCCAGCCAGGGCAGGAGGGGCAATGCAGGCACGACTCGCTCCAGACTGAAGCGGGCAAATGGCAGCGGGGCATAGTCCCCACTCCCAGTGCTGCTATGCCCGCATCAGGGCTGGGAGTGGGGGCTCTTCCCTGCTGCCGCTTGCCAGCCGGAGTGGAAGAGGGCAGGTGCTGCTGCTGCTTGCCAGCTGGCATGGGATGCAAGGGGGGGGCATGGGATGCGGGTGTGGCAGCACTGGGAGCTGGGACTATGCCCTGCTGCCGCCTGCCCCTTCCCCCCGGAGCAAGCCATGCCTGCATCCTACCCCCGCCCCACCCCGTCTGGGCAACCAGTAGCAGGGCAGAGCCCCTGCGCCGAGTGCACCATACCTGGATCCCGCACCCTCCCGCCTAGGCAGCTTGTCTCAGCCCCAGTCCCAGCCCCAATCCCTCCCACCCCCCATGCCTCT